GGGCAGAAGAAACAGCGGCGAACGGTGGTGCTGCGACGCTGGTGGAGCCCAGAGCGAGATGCAGGTACCGTCGTTGTGTGTTTACCGTCGTTGTACGCTAATGACCGGCGGAGGAGCGTGCAAAGCTTGTTTTTTCCAGATCCAGAAGTTGGGGATTCCAATATGGAAACTGCACCCGGCGGCCCACGACAACTAGCGAGATCTGTGGCGATGGTGGCTAGCCGGCGACAGGGGGTGCTAGACCAGAAATAAGGCGGCCGACCTGGAACTAGAGCGGGTGGCTCGTGGTGGCTGGCCGGTGGCGGCGGTGCTAGCCCAGAAGCGGGGCGACCCACCTGATGCACGGAGGCGCGGTGAAGGTTGCTCCGGCCAGGTTTGGGAAATCCCGGATCTACCATGCCAGAACACGTTTTTTTTTTTTATTTTCAGATTGCTCTTTGACTGATTTTCTGTGATTTGGGTGAATTTTTGGGTAATTTGGGGAGGTTTTCTCACTTGATTTTGCTCTAATCTCTCAATGAAAGCACCATTGATGGATTGTAGGGATCCAAGTATGTATAAAATGTAGAGATTTTAGCTCAAGAATGTGTGGAGAAGATGAAGTGTAGTAGAATGAATTGTGTCCTAATGACTTAGGGTTACAAGAGGCTCCAAGAGGAGTATAAATAGAGGAATAACGGGCCGGGCCGCTAATATGGACCCGATAGCCCAACTACATAAAAGACTAATCTAGTACATACAAATGATATATGAACAGTACAAAAATACAAATGATATCCATAAGACGTGTGTGGGCCGCTGTCCGGGCCCAATAGTCGTGAGACCTGGGGGTCCGAGTCTATATACTCTATCAGATAGATTGACACTTATAATTATCTATAATTCTTTCCGTCGTCGGAATAAAAATTACTAGATTGCATTGTCTAATTTACTTGTGATGGTTGAATGTCTTCATTACCATGTGCTTCATGAGACTAGCTAAAATACACAGTATATTTTGAAATTTTTTAAAATAAAAATTCAATACAAAGTGGGCATTAAATTTCTTCGAAAAGATGCATGATATGCTAAGTTATAGAATTTTTATTTTTTACTTCATGTAAAAGTGATTTATATATTATCAAAGTAATCTTAAAACTTAAAGGACTAACAAAATAAAAGGTTGCCAGCTTAAAGATTTCCCTTTGATCTACCTCTATACTTTAACACTCCCAAGTAGTCATATAATATATGATTATATATTTTTTGAAATTATTTACAAAATAAATTATATTGGGCATTTTGAATTTCTTGCAACGCGCGTGTGAAAACTAGTACTATTATAAATTTCAATGATTTCGTGTTTATTTGACTAAATTTTTAATTAGTGTTAGAAATATATTTTAGGATGAACATAAAAGGGGTTTTCTTTAAATATTACTAATAAAAATGTTATGAACAAAAATGTGACTTAATAACTATTAATGGCTATAGTTGTGTACAAAGCGATCTTTACTTCTCAGTAACTTAAATTTAGTTACTACTATGTAAGTTTTGAACACAATTGTAGTCAAGTACAGAGTAATATTTTTGTCCATCACACTTTAAAAAGTATTGGACACATATTTATGGATTTTTTCAACATAAAATATCTTTTGTACTTGAATAGATTGTCATTAATTAATAAACTTCAGTTATATAAACCCCTTTTGTAGTAATTTTGATTTGTGAATTGTGAGTTCTCTTTATTGATGTTTTTCATGATATGCTTAGTAGCTAATGACGTAGGTGGCCACATTATTGAACGGTACATATTGTTATAAACATATTGATCTTAAAAAGTTTGGTATCTCACATCAATATAATAATGTTTATTAATTTACTCATTTAGATGTTTGTTATAAAGTAAATTAATTGACATGTCCACTTCGAGTACATAAGTACATTTCAAAGATTGTGTGCTATATATGAATGTAGTCCCTCAATTCCAATATGATAATTGATATAATTGATGTGTTATTCTTATATATGAAATATCGTAGTTACAATATGAAAATTATTATTATTATGTCTTAACGTCACTATATTAAGTATTATCTTTAAGTGAGTAGCTTAAAAAGTATTGGTTAGACATATTATGCATGTTGTAGAGGTATGCAAACGATCGTGATAGATTTAGTCACATAAAACACGAGCTAAATATTATTTTAGTCCATTCACGATTAAGAATAAGTATATGTATAAAACACTCACTATCAGTGTTGTATGAATTTATATGAATTATTACATGGAAAGCCAATCAAAAGCTGCAATTCCAACTTTTAATGACAAATCGATAATTTTGATATGATCATAATTGATTATAGATACTTTATTTTCAATATCAATATAATAATAGAGGAGACAACGGATGACATATTTGGAGCAGGAGACCAAAAAATATGAAGATGAAATGAGGCGCAAAAAATATGTGTACATTCTAAGAAAATACAAGAATTGTGTTTAAAAGTTTTGACTTTTTAATCAAGATTTGAGAAAGGATAGTTTGGGCATAAAATAATTAGAAGTATAAGCATTTTTAAAGATACTAGGTGTCGAGTCCCTATATTATACACCCAAGTGTATGACATACACATCCAAGTAATTTTGTAATTTCCATCAACTTTGAACCTATTTAATACAAAGTATTTTTAAACTAAGTCATCGCCCTTCGATCAATCATTCCTAAGCAAATCCTACACACATCTCATTCTTCTTTTCCTTTTTCTTTTATATTCACATTTCCTATAAATCATATGGAGTATCTAAATTGAATCTTTCTCATTCAAAAATTGTAAATAGGATACAATTTGATCTAAAACATATATCTTCCTCTCATCAATGATGTTTCAATTTTTCTATATTGACTCATAATATGATTGCACACCAGCTATTCGAAAAATTCCAAAGTGAATGTTAATTTCTTTTTTGATGTAATATCTTATTATTTGTTGCACTTGTATAAAATTTATGCATATTTTTTTCATAATGGTTCTTGACTTCTTGTAGTCAAATCGCACTATCCTTGCCAGTGGTTGGAAAAACTAAATCTCGTCATTCTTATTTTTACTCTATTTCCCAATACTCTTTAATTAATGCTTTATTTGATTTTAGTAGCAGATGCAACATTGATGTTAGTGGAGTGTACCATCTTGTGAGGTTAGTGAGTTGGGTCGTTTTTCAGCGATCTTCCAGCTCTATGTCTCATCTCAATGTAGCCTTTAATATGGCAGCCTTGTATATGGTTCTCATTTTTAATACGGGGTATGAATTAAGTTATCTTTTGCAAAAAAAGGTACTTCATACTCTTCTAGTCTTTATAATTTTGTCAAGTTTGATCGGTAGAATAGATAATAAAATAAAAATTGTAAGTTATGTATGATCATTTTGTATTGGTGTAATGCTCATTTTAAAATGTCATATCAATGCATATTTTAAAAGTGTAATATCACATTAGATTCACATATTGGATTCATATGCATTCATTATAGATATTTAAAAAAAGGAAAAAAGTGAAATATAAAATATGAAGCAGATATCACGTTGCTCAATATTCGATTTCTACTCAACAAAATAAGTCTACTACTCACTAAAAGGGCATTAATACTCATTTAAAAGATGTTGTAGTTTTCACTAAAATTAAGGAAATGCCAACAATTGCACGTTGCTCACCGTACATCCGGAGTATTTTTTTTGGAAGAATTTGGACTAAATTGAAATCTCAACATTTAAATGATGGGTAATACGACAAGTAGAACCTGACAACTGTCGTCTCGCGAACCAGACTCAGAGTTAATCACCTCATCAGAAGCAATATAACTCGTTGATCCATTAATGGGCACAAATGAGCCAAAAACGGTCACCATATTCCTCTCATCCCCCATATCCAAAATCAACGTCTTACAAAATGGAATAATAAAGAAAAAGCAAATAACAAAGCAGGCATAAAACTTACTGGAAAAATAAACAAAACAAATAAGATATGTCTTCTTCCAAACCCTAGATTTACTTGCACTCCATGGCGGCGGCTCAGGAGGGGGACGCGCCCGCCGCTTATCCGCCACAATCTCAACATCAGCCTCATTTGGATCCAGTTCTTCTCCCTTTGCCCTACTCGCCATATTCTTGTATTTGTCCACGAAGCTATCCATGCAAAACTGTTGCTCTAACCCTCTGCCAGAAATTCCGAACCTGCTCATTGTCGAGACCTAACACTTCGGGCACAATTAAAGCAACCAACGGATGCTTTGCTCGAATCAACCAAGACAGCTCCCAAAATGATTAGATCGATGACCCCAATCCCAAAAAAGAAAACACAAAAACGATCTGGTATGTCTATATCAACAACTAACAGACACAAAATCCAAACTCGCACCACGACCGAACAATCGTAGCCGGACAAACGCCCCTAGGAAAACCCTAGGAGGCGGCACTATTCATCCAACGAGGACGAAGCTATTTTCAAAGTACGGAGTATTTTTTTTTCCTTTTCTCTCTTTGATATAGTAACTTTAATTTATGTTACATCCGGAGTATATGATATCGATTTATAAAGTAAAAAGAAGTTCACAATGTTTACATAAACTATTTAGTGTACACAATCCATTGATGGCTGCAAACATTGCTGGAATGGCTTAAGGTGTCATAGGAGAAAATCTAGAACTGAAATTGAGTAAAAATAACATGATATTTTAAAATACAAATATTACTTTTTCTCTAAATAAATCAAATTTGTAAAATATTATTGAATATGACATTAATTAATCATGACATCATAATTATAACAACAATTTATTTCTATTTACTTTTATTTTGCAACATTACATAATTTTTATCTCTATTTGTGAAATTTCCCCATTCTATAACAGGTATGCTTTTTCCTGGTTTTATGTAAACAAACAAACTGGTATGTTTGTTTATTATGCAGTGCAATGTAATTTGTTACATAACTGAAAAAGGTAAAAAAATCTAGAGGTTGAAGCCAAAAATATAATGTGTCCAGCTTTATTTAATCATAAGTAATAATAATTCAAGCGAAATACATTTTGTCCCCTGCAAACCCTCCAAAAGGAAAGAAGAAATCTCACAACTCACAAGCGTACAAAAAGTTATTTATGACTACATACTTTTGACAAAATAATTTAACATGAATTCAGGGATTTGTTAGCAAATAAAGATAAACAACAAATGTGAACTGCTACTGCTAAGGTGTGGCTGGCTGGCTGGCTGCTGCTATTCCTCATTCATTCATTCAATCAATTTCCTACCAAAACTTCAGAGTTTGTTAATTTGATTATTATTTCTATGAACACGAAATGATTTATTATCCAGTGGGACCTTCTTGTTTTATTCTTTGAATTTCCTATATAAATATCAAAGCTGGAGTAATTAAGCTGCGCCGACTCACCGGCTGGCGGCTCGTCTACCTAATAAGCTAGTAGCATTCCCAGAAAAACGGCTCATCTGGCCGGAGTCCAGCATCGGCTTCAGCCAGCTGCCACGCCGATCCGTTCCGGTTCGTGCACCCGGTGAAGAGATCCGGCAGGTCGAAGAATGTGTCGTCGTCGTTTTGCGTCGACGGAGAATTCAGCGCTTCTCGCACGCTCTCCGGCGTTAATAAATTGCTCGAAGACCGACAACACGGTAGATCCGTCTGACTTCCGCCGTGGATGGCGGGGGATTCGGCGGCCTTTGCGGCGGCGGCTTGGATATCCTTGGGCGATTTGGAAGCCGGCCGGGGGAGCTGATCGGCTAAGTGCGGGAAATTGAGGTACGCCGCGTGGCCCTTGATGGCTAGAGCCGCCACGTCGTGGGCTCGAGCCGCCATTTCAGCCGTGGGATACGTCCCGAGCCATATCCTCGACTTCTTCCTCGGCTCTCTGATTTCGGACACCCATTTTCCCCAATTTCGCTTTCGCACCCCGCGATAAGTCGGATGTTTATCTTCGCCCTCTACTTTTCTCCTTTTCTTATTTCCGCCCCGGTTCTTGACAGCGGAGGAGCTCTTACAACTAGAGGCGGAAGAAGGGGAATTTGAGTTCCCGGAATCCACCGAGTGAGAGGCGGCGGAGGAGGAGGAAGTGGTGGTTGGAGTGGATGAGAAGTAGTACTCATTGTTGGCTTTTGCTCTCATCATTAGAACTTAGAAAAAGAGTGGCTTTTTCCCTCTCCTATAAAGAACAAGAAATTATATATTCTGATATTTGAAGTGTTTTAAGACACTATAATAGCTGTTACTCTGGAATATGGTTGAGGGCTGTTATTATAAAGCTCCATGGATTCTTCAATGAATTGGGGTTATTGGGCATTGCTTTAAATGATGGGGGAAAAGGGGGGTGGGACCCAGCCACAACCCACAGGCAAACTGTTAGCTGTCCAGCTAATATGGTAGACATGTGAAATTAAAACAAAGTTCTTGACTATTTTATGCTTTTAATGTGCCAGATTCACTTCAATTAAAACTTTGCCTTACTATATAAGTATATTATGCAGATTATTTTATCTTTCAGTTTCTTAAACCATTTTGTGAGGAGGAGCAATCTGGGGGCTTTAAAACCACTTCACCTACACCACAACTCAGGATTAAAGTAGGGTTGTTACTTGTTACCCTTCTCTTCCTAGTCCTAGGAAAGAAATTATAAACCCGCATGGGTAGCTCAGTTGGTTCAGTGATGGGGAATTTGGAACAACGACCAAAGTTCGAAACCCCAACGGTCGTGTGAAGGTTACAGCTCATACGTGCTGGGCTGGATCTCTGGTGCGCACGAGTATAATGCATACCACCATTGGGCCGGCTGAGTCACCGTGACTTACTCCTCCACCATTCTGTCGGGTCAGGGTGTGGGGGCTCCTGGAGATTTCACCTTTTGGAACAACAAGGAAAGAAATTGTAAGAGTAGATGAAACGGGACGTGTATAAGTGGTTGAGTATGCTTTCCACCAAGATTGAATAGATCCTTTTATACAATGTTGAGAGTATTTCAAAAATTTCTTGTGGACTTGTGAAACATAAGCACTACCTAGCAAAAGGTCATGATATATTTTACATTTGACATACCGCATTTTAATGATAGGTGGTACCAAAGTCTCTTTTATCTAATATCTTTATTAGAACAAGACTACTTGACTAGTACATGTTCATTCTATTGAAGAGGAGCGTTGGCGCACCTGTTAGCGCACCGGTTAAGTGTTGCTATATGATTGAGAGGTCACGAGTTCAAGTATTGGAGTGGTCTCTTTATAAAAAATTGATAAGAGAATGTTTACTCTTTATACACCCTTACGATCCTTTCATGAACCTCGCTTTGTGTGATGTCTCCGGGCCAAAAAAACATTTATAATCATCTTGGTCACTTACATAATAATCACATTGATGATTACTCAATTGAAAGAAACATTTAAGGGAGAACTATCAAATAAGTCTTCAAACTTTCATAAAAAGTGCAAATAAACCCTTTTATAGAAGATTCCGTCCGCCCGTCACAATTTGGGGAGGTTTCCGGTGGAATTTTTTGATGAAATTTTTTGAGTGCCTTCTTCATTAAGTCTAGTTTATTTAGACCAAAATTCAGCTAAAAATTCAACCGGGAAGACAATTAAATGAATTTTCGAAGATAACTGTGCAGTTAGACAGCTCAATATATTTCAGAAAATCATTTGACTGTCTTCTCAATTGAATTTTTAGCTGACATTTGGTATGGGTAAACTAGACTTAATGAAGAAGATGTTCAAAAAAATTCATCAAAAAATTCCACCAGAAACCGCCACAAATAGCCACAGCCGGACAAAGCCTCCTGTAAAAGGGCTTATTTGCACTTTTTATGAAAGTTCGAGAACTTATTTGATAGTTTTCCCAACATTTAATTATGTTCAAACATGAAAATCCTCATGTTAGTAATTATCATATTTTCTCTCATGCGTTGCACAAATATAAGTCTATTTTAAATTTTAAACTTTTTTGAATTCAATTGATGTATTGTATATACTATCGTATAAGTTTTTTCGTGAATAAGGAGACGAGATTATCCTAAGCATTATTGTGTTCGACCTGCCTACTTGCGTCTAAAAGTTTGATAAATTGTGTGTGCACAGACGAATTTTTAACAAATTGTCTGTATGGAAAGATGCCTAAGGAGTATACAAAAAGTATAGAAATGTCATTGCATTTGACCGCTTTTCTGCCGTCCTAAATCCCTTCTGTACATCACCACTTCAAGCAATGGTGAAATGAGTCAATATGTCCATATTTTGACCCCCTCCATACAGTTACTTGGACAGTGCATAAGTGGTCAATAACCATAAAATTAGCTTTTTCACAAGGTCGCAAATGGCCAACAATTTAACGGTAGATAAGTAATCAAATACCAAGTATTTGGTCTAGAGATAATTATCCTAGGTGTGACTAAAACTTATTCACTTTCTCAATCTATGACCTAACTAGTTTTTTTACCAAAATAATATTAAAATTCATAATATTTAATTAAAATTCGTTATAAATAAATAAATACATAATTTAGGTGGACAAATATACCCTTTAGATCATATCTATAAATCCCTAAGCTCCTAATCTTTTCTCCAACCCTAGCCTCCATTCTCACACCTCCACAGATCAACCCGTTTTCTGTCGCATGCCCCCTGCCGCCGCCGCTCCATGGCACGCCGTCCGCCGCCGCTTCGTGGCCCGCAGCACAACCACCTGCTGTCGTCTCAGGCCGTTCTATGTAATCTTCGTCTCTTTCTCAATTATGTTCTCCGTCAGATGGAGATGGTGAGATGGAGTAAGGGTCGTGGCTAAGTGGGTCCCCACCCAGAGTTCCGATGGCGAAGAAGCAGCGGAAGAGGTTAGAGAGAGCTTCGGTGGAAGAATCTTGGTGGTCGTCCATTCGGTGGAAGAATCTTGGTAATCTTGGAAGAAAATGTGTTGGCCGTTCTTCCTCCTTCGTGAACAGTTGCTGATTGGACATTGAAAATGAACATGTCAATAAATTTTGTGTATGGGGCTTTGGGCAGTGGGCAGTAAGGCAATAAATCTTGTGTACATGGGCAGTGGGCAGTAAGGCAGGTTTTTTTTTGTGTGTATGGGGCTATGGGCAGTAAATAAATAATATGGAGTATTATACATGGCACTGAATAAATGCATTGAACAAGTTTATTGTGCAGTGATAAAGACCAGTAAGGCAGTGAGACAGAGTAATAATGCTGTCATGAAATGCAATATACTTAATTTGACGTAAAATAATAAAATGATTAAATCTATAAAAGAAATTCCTCAAGTGAATGAGAAGAGAATTAATTTTAGCAGAAGTGCAATGATTATTATAGGATGTGCAGTAAAGTCATGCATTAATTTTGTGCAGTAAGGGCAATATATAAAATGCAATAATTTTAATTAGACGAAATTAGTGCAAAATGCACATATTTTAAATAAGGGTATTTTCGTCATTAAACCTTTAAATATAAACGAATTTTCTTTTTTTTTTTTGGATTTTCGGTCATACAAAGGTATAAAAACTAATTAGGTCATAGATCGGGAAACTCATTGAGTTTTAGTCATATCTTAGGAAATTTCCCTCTGGTCTAATAAGTTCTCCGTTTAGGGTTTTGAGTTTCTCCGTTTTGTCTCCTTCGGCGAATAGAGACAGTCCAAGTGTGCAGATGTCATTGGGCTTCAGGGTGAAGATCAGATTTCTCCCTTCTGTCGTTGTGTGCGGTTGAGAGTGGTCCTTTTATCTTCTTTTTCCTTTGTTGAATGCTGTGATTTCAATTTAAGCCGCTTTTTTCGAAAAAAATCATGTGTTTCTTGAATGTGCACGTCATCCTACTATACTCTACTATTTCCTCGGTTATTAAAGAAAAATTAAGGTGTAGAGTTATACTATTTTCGCCCCACTAACATTGGGAGTGAATGAGTTATTACAAAAATAGATTTATAAAGTTGATATTAAATTGATAAAGTAAAAATAAATAAAGAATGATTTACAACCACACAAACTTTACCAAATTTAATATGAGACAATCTTAATTGGACGGATCGAAATGAAAAGATGATGCAACCTTAGCGGGGCGGAGAGGGTATACAACTCATAATTGATAATATGCGAATAAAGCAAAATGAATTGTAACTATCCAAATATGATCAAATATGATATAAAACAAATTTAGTTGGACAAACTGGAAAAGATAAAACGAGACAAAGATAAAAAACTGTTTAAATTATTGCAAAATTTTAACACAATCACTTAGGTGGAAGAAAATGGCAATTTATTTTTGAGGTGGAAGAAATAAGAATGCTTTTCTTTCATTTCCATGCATAGCCGCCATGGAAAAGCCGTGCAATTAAACTCAACGATCTTAATTGCCATAATATTATATAATTTCGTAGCTTGTATAGACATATAGGTAGGCTAGAAGCTATACCAACACAGCAGTACGTTTCGTAGGTTATCTAAATTGGCAATAAAAATATTTTTGAGTGAGCATAAAATAGTGAATGGATGAAAGTAGTTGAGATAATTTTTATACAATTGTTCCAAAAGGTGGAATCTCCCACCCTAGGAGCCCCCACCCCGACCCGACAAGATGGTGGGGAGATTAGTGACGGTGACTCAGTCAGCAGAATGGCAGTAGGTCCATACACCCGTGAGATAATTTTTATACAAACTTTGATTTTTTGTTGTCGATGCCTAAAACGTATTGTGCTGGGATTCGAGATGCATCAAATTTCTTACATTCTTCCGGGTTTTCTGTTTCCATTTTGGCTGAATTTTTGGATGGATTGTGGTAGCAAACTGCTCAAAATGTTGCTACTTTTATTATCTAATATGTGTTGTACAGATCCACTAATGCCACTATGCCAGGCTTGTTGATAACCAGTCGTCGTCATCATCATCTACTTGGCCATCTTCATTTATTTTCTTTCCATTTTCTTGAAACAGTGCATTAAATGATCACGGTTGTGAGCTTGTGACTTGGGTTTGATATTTGCATCTCAAGTTTATTCAAGAACTTGACTTTATAACTCATGTTTTGTTTTATAATTTGACTTTTAAAGTTATTTCTGGTGTGATTAGGAACTTAGAGAATATTAATTGTACTTTTCATTCAGATCATTTACCTTTGCATTTGAATATATTACTCTCGTTGAAAATTTATTGAGAGCCATGATTCGTTCACACGTTTCCATTTAGATTAAAATTTTCTGATCTTGTCTATTTATGAATATGTTATGATTTGGTTTAAACTGGTAGAGTCTGGATGGACATGGATGTCCGT